AAGAAATAAATTCTTTAACCCCTTCCTTATATTCATTACTCAACCTATTTGCAAACATCCATTTCCTAACCATTGCTACACAAAAAACTAAACAATAAATATCTCACTCACCCAAACACATATTACTCAAAATCATAAAACATAAACAAAATTCATTATCTACATAACAAATTCAAGACAAACAACAAAAACTCAACACTCATATTACTCAAAACCACAAAACCTAAATAAAGTTCATCATCTACATAACAAATTCAAGACAAAAACTAAAAAGCCAACACCCATATTACACAAAATTACAAAATCTAAACTAATTTCATCATCAACATAAACAAATTTTATCAAACAACAAACACCCAACATCTATAATACTCAAACTCATAAAATCTAAGCTATTTTCTTCATTTTTTATCAAATTTATACAAAAAATGAGAAAATTAATGAAATTTTCTTCATGTTCTTCACGGATTTGTAGTCCTTCTTGGATTTATGGAGAAAAGGCGGCAAACAGAAGGAGAATGGCGGCAGACAGAAGGAAGAAGGGGCCTATTTGGGGTGGCGGTACTGTCTGGGCGAAGAGATTAACAGAATAACTTAGTGGGCAAGCATTTTGATTTTCGAGTGAATTTTCGCCAAATGAAGTTTTTCTAGGTTAAAAACTAGATTCAATGATGGTTTTATGGAGAACCATCGTTAAAGATACCAGTATTGAAAGTCAATTTTTTTTTAAAAATGCGTATATAATTGTCATGTCAACCACCATGTTTTTAATGGTACGTTTGACGACGGTTTTGTTAAAATCGTCGTCTAATTAGTGTCATTAAATTCATAATTTTTTATAGTTTATTTTAAGATAATTTGCAAGTGCAAAAATATAAAAATCAGCGGGCCAAGTTTATTTAAAATTTACAACGTTAATGATTTAATTTCTCTTTTTTTTTTCTTTTTTTTTTTAAAGGAACGTTAATGATTAGACTTAGAGTTGATATTACTATCTTATAAATTTAATAGCAAAGATGTTAGAGAAAACAGAAGGAGCAAAAAAGAGTACAAATTCATGAACGGTATCTGTTGTAGTCCATTTTATCTTTTTATCTCATGAATAGTTTTTGAATTCAGAAATTGTCTCATAAATAGTCTATCTATTAAATTTTAAATAATAATTGTTTAACTTTATTTATTAAAGATCCTTAAGCTATCTTTTTCTCTTTAAAAATAATCTCTATGTCAAAAGTTGTACTAAATTTAATCCTTAAACTAAAATAAAATATGCAAAATTAATTCATTTGTTAAATAAATAAATAAATAACATTAAATGTGAGAAGTTGTACCAAATGTAATTATTGAAATAAACAAAATACAATTTTTTTTTTGCTACACATATTTGACTTTTTTATCCATTTATTCACATATGTAATTTTGATAACATTTTGATTAATTATATTTGCTAAATTTTCCCATATTATTGTTATTTGATAATAATAACTTTTAAAACGCATACTATTATAAATATTTTTTTGTATTATACCCATTTTAACCCTTTGATCTCCCAATTTGTTACTTTAGTTTTTTTTTTTCTTAGTAAAAAGTTTCTATAAAAAAAAATAAACAAATTTAATTCAAAAGAAAACAAAACCTTGAAACACAAGACACTCAAAATTTAGCCAAAAGACAATATTCATATATATCTTACACATTTGTTAGAATCTTTCAACACCAAATTAATGGGAAAAAGTTTCATAAAAAAAGAGTAAAAACAATTAACGGCAAACCACAATCTAAATACAACAAGTGTATCGCACGCTTATTTTATTACTATAACAAAAAATAAAATAAACATACTATTATTTATGTCAGGTTATTTAGAAATTTAATAGGTGTTTATAGAATTATTTTTATTGCTTTAGATTAGGGACTATAATTGGTACAACTTCTCATATTTAATTTTGCTTGCATCTATTTATTGACAAACTAATTAATTTTGTTATTTTTTAGGTTTAGGGATTAAATTTAGTATAACTTTCAACATAAAAACTATTATAAGAGAGAGAAGAAAGTTCAAGAATTTTTTATGAGACAGTTAATGGTTTCCATTCAAAATTTAATGAAGGGACCATTTATAAGACAATTATTGAGTTTAGAAACTATTTATGAGACGAAATTGACTATATAAACTAATTTTAGAGAGAGAAAAAAAGTTTAGAAAGTATCCATGAATTTAAGTTTTAAAAAAAAAAAAACAGTATGTTGTTGATTCCTTGGACAACGTCAAATTTTCCATTTAAAACATTTGCATCATTTTATCTGGAAAATTACATATCATTTGTTTGTGTAAAAAGCTCGTTGTCGTTATATTACGAAACAACAATTATTTTGTTATCGTCTTTTTACGTTTCACCTTCGACCTATCAAGAAACGCCTTCATTCTTTTTTGTGAAAAAAATGTTTCCTTATTCTATTGTTTTTGTTTTTGTTCTTTTTTTAAGATGGAAAAAACACGTTTAGTAACAAGCTTTTGATTCTTTTCTTTGGAAACGTAGGAAAAAAAAAAATATATATATATATATATATTTGGTAACAACCTATTTTGTACATATTTTTTTACGAAAATAGTAAAAAATAGGCTAATATGAAAAGCTTAAGAAAGTATATAGGTCAACTTTTAGTTATAAAAATTAATAGACTATAACTTGTCGAGTTATGGTTTATAACCAGATAAATTATGGATAAACTTATCAAGTTATGATTCATAACCTGATAAGTTATGGACAAAAACCGTGAATTATGAACAATAATTTGTCAAGTTATGGTTCATAACCAGACAAATTATGGATAAAAATAATAATTTGGCCAATTTATTAATTTTTATAAACTATTAACCTATTAATTTTAATTTATCTCAAGTCTTGACCTATTTTTCTCTTTCTCCGTATTTTTTAAAACAAAAAACGAAACAAAACATGATAGCCATTAGGTGGGGACAGACGTTTGGGCTTGGTCGAGACAGGCTCCCCCAAAAGGCCAATGGGTCTAAACCTTTGTTACAGTCGGACCAGGACAAGTTTCAAGGTCGAATCAACGAGCTACGACGAAGCTGGGCTAATGGGCCTAGACTATTGTTTGGATTGGGCCAACAGGCTTCGGTTAATACCAGAAAAATAGTAGAAAATAAGCCAATATAAAAAACTTAAGAAAGTATATAGGTCAATTTTTAATTATAAAAATTAATAGGTCATAACTTGTTAAGTTATGGTTCATAATCAGATAAGTTATTGACAAACTTGTCAAGTTATGGTTCATAGCCAGACAAGTTATGGATAATTATGGACAATAACTTGTCAAGTTATGGTTCATAACCAGACAAGTTATGAACGAAAACAGTAATTTAACCTATTTATTAACTTATGTAAACTATTGGCCTATTAATTTTAATTCATCTCAAGTCTTGATATATTTTTCTCTTTCTCCCCGACACTTTTCCATTCCTAACCTACAATGAGCCCACCATGCGTTTGTCGTAGCCAAAGCCTAGAGTACATCCCTACCCATTCCAACCTTGTCTTTGGTCATGAATGATTGATCTTCGGTTTGTTTCGAGAGTTCTGATTTGATTTAAAATTATAATTTTTTATTTGTTATAGTGTTTTATTCTCATAAAAAATTAAAATTTTAAAAATTAAAATAATAAATCGTAATTTATCAAATGTCATCTGACTCAACTTTGATTGGGATCCTAGACCTTGCTGCCTATTTGGCTCCAATAGCAATCCCAGATTATTGGCTCCAAGGTTAACCCATCTTGCACTTACATTGACTTCGTGAATTGAGCCTAACCACAATGTCAATGCGTCAACCCCAATCCAACTCTGCCCGATAACGTCCTTAAATTAGTCCCAATATTCATCTATTTTCGATATGTCCTCGGCATGAGTAGTGACTGTGACTTTTTTTTTTTTTTTTGGGTTAAAACAATTAAAAAACAATAAATTATTGGTTTTACAATTTAAAAAAATGATAAAAATTTAAAAAATATATAAGAAAGAAGGTCCTCAGATGTATTTTTAAAAGGAATTTTCAATTTTTTGTTTAAAAAAACGCTAAAAAAATATTGAATGAAACCAAATTCACATGTTGTTTGTAACTTTTCTAAGTGAACTGATTTTGACATCTGATTTGACGAATTTATACTTTCTTATAATTAGGTAATCAAAAAGTAAATAAGTGTTAGGTTTAAAAAACAAATAAAATTTTCAAGTCAAGCTGAAAAGGGTAAATTAGTCAAAATCAGTGGATCATCATCTCTGGTTTGGATTTAAAAAGGGTATATTTCATAGTTACAACCTTAAAACGCCAAAATAATATATATATATATATATATATATATATAGAGGTACATTTTTTATTGGGGAAAGTCTAGCAGTTGACGACAATACCAGGCAACTCAATTTAACAAAAACGACATCCATTAACGGCGTTGGATTTAACGTTTAAAGAGGATAGATTCCCTGCTACGATTAGCAACTTTAACTTATATTTCAATGGGACCCACGTCAAATCGCATCACGAACAACCGTTCAATCTCACCCTACTGGTAGGGGATTTTAACACCTCCTACCTTAGACATGTCCTTTTTATTGACTCAAAATAAAGAGAGAATATGAGCCGGTTCAATTTATTAATCTGAATTTTTAATTTAAATTTAAATGTAATTTTATATAAAAAAAATTTATTATAATAAAAAAAGTTAAATATAATTTTTTGTGAGAATTTTTGATATTATTCACTTTGTAAATTCAAATTTTAATTTAAATTAAAATGTAATATTTTTTAAAAATTTTTAATTATAAAAGAAAATTTTAAATGTTATATTTTTTAATCGTTTAATTACTCAAATTAATAAATGAATGAGATTTTTAATTATAATAAATTAAAAATTAAAAATTCTAATGTATTTCAAAGAAATATTCCACGCAGACACCATTCCAGAATTTCGCCTCAAACGGGGAGAGGAAAATGATTCTTCAGTGTGTGGCGCCACTGCAATGCTGCCGTGTTCCCCACAATCCCACCACTGGTTTCGCGCCACGTAAGTCGTCTTCTTCACCAGAGACCGTCCCTGTAACTCCTCCTTTTTCTTCTCTGTCAACCACAACGCGAAGACGAGCTTTGTCTCTTTCCTTCATCTCCGTATTAATTTCGTTTCTCGCTCCTTCTTGCTCATCTTCCGCCATTTCCGACTTCTCCGAGCTTCTCAATTCCGGCCGCGTTAGGGCTTTGGACCTCCGCCTCGGTTCCGGCGAAGCTCCCACTGATGGCGACCAGGTCCTCTCTCTCTCTCTCTCTCTCTCTCTCTCTCTCTCTCTCTCTCTCTCTATATGTATATATACGCGTATATGTACATTATATAATATATATATATATATGTGTGTGTGTGTGTGTTTGTATATGCTTGTCATTTTAATGAGCTATTATTTCATTTATAGAGTAGTCTGTGATCCGAATTAACCATTTTTTGGTTAATTTCATCTAAACCATTGAACTGCACAATGTGTTGTGACAGACACTTGTGAGGTTTTGTTGCTCAAATTTCCTTTTGGTAACATTTGAGATTTTGATTTTGCTTACATAATTTCGTCCTTCAAATGGCCGTTTTATCTGATTTTTGGCACATTTTCGGGTTGCTCATGTGGTAATTTTGCCCCACTCATACCAAAATTCGAGCCGAATTGGACGAGGACAACACTTTTTAATGCGAAAACAGAGTTATAAAAATTGAATTGCCAAGCTGCTTTCTGAATTTTTAATTATCAAAATGCTGCTGAACTTAACAACATATATCGTCCACATTGATGAACGGTGTTAAAATGTGGAACAAAAAAAAAATGCAGTCACACATGTTACATGATCATCAACTAAAATTTCAGTCTCTTCTTTCAAACGACCTCAAATAACGTGTATGTAACATTTACGAGAGCATTTCTGTTCAAATATTAATAGCCGATATTGATTTGGGGCATTCTGCAACACGGTTAAATTCAAAGGATTTGCAAAAATTAAATATTTAGAGATAATTTTTCAATCATGAAAATTAGAGAGTACTAACTTTCTCTCTAAATGCAAGGAAAGAACTATAAAAAACATCTCTCTTGTAATAGGAGCAAAAACCTATCTAGACTTTCTCTTGTAATAGGAGAAAGTAAGGGCCCATTTGTTTCATATACTCAAACACAAATCATTGATTCTACTACAATGTTTTTCTCTCACAAAAAATTTGAATTTCAAACATTAGAATCAAGAATCATAATTTGAGTATACCTTTCAAACGAGCCCTAAAAAGAATTGTCTGAGGATGGAATGTTGGGAATGATGGGGGGAGGCCATGATTAGGCCATGGAGAGGCTTCCAAGTTCTTTGAAGCACCACATTCATCGAATCACAATTCATTAAACACACACCCACATACACTGAATCACCACATTCATTGAATTATCAATTTCAATAAATCACCATGTTCAATGAATATCCAAGTTCAAGGCCTCGTTTGGTTGTAGGGTTTAAAACCAGTGTGGTTTGAAACTTTTGGTTTAAACCATGTTGGTTTAAAAAGTGTGGTTGAAATGTTAGGTTCAAACCATGGGAAATTAGGGGGAGGGTTGGTTTAGAAACCCTTTGATTTTGATGGTTTAAATGTCACATCAAGGGTTCAAACCACTTTTTACTTTTTACAACCAAGCACTAGATTGAACTAAAACCTTGGGTTCAAATCACTTGAACCCTCGAACCAAACGGATTATGATGTCAATTTTGAGCCATCCCTAACAACTTTCATCATATCAGCAAGTAGATGTGAAGACTGTTTTTCTTCATGGAGATCTTAAAGAAGAGATTTACATGCGCTCCAACTAGAAGGTTTTGCCTAAGCAGGAAAAGAGAACTTAATTTGTAGGTTAAACAAATCTTTGTACAAGAGATTTGAATCCTATGTCTAAAGACTTGGAGACAACATACTTAGTTCAGACCCTTGTGCATATTTGAAGAGGTTTGAAGATGAGGATTTTATTATTTTGTTGTTGTACATGGACGACATGTTGGTAGTAGGCCCCTTTAAAGATTGATTCTACGAATTGAAGGCACAATTGACTATGGAGTTTGATTTGAAGGACTTGGGACCAACAAACAAGATTCTAGGGATGCAAAGTCACTATCTCATATGAACTACATTAGTAAGGTCTTGTGGCGCTTCAACATGCAAGATTGTAAAACAATTTCTATCCCTCAACTTGTTATTTTCAAGTCATCCTCTGAGATATGTCCTAGCAATGAAGCCGAGAGGAAGGAGATGCCTCGATTACGATAGCCATTAGCAATTTAGCAGTGGGAAGCTTAATGTTTTCTATGATCTGTACGAGACCAAACATTGCATAAGTAGTGGGAGCAATCAATCGATACATGGCGAATCCTGCTAGAGAGCACCGAAATACTGTTAAAAGGATCTTAAGATACGTTAAGGGTACCTCAAATGTTGCACTATGTTATGGAGGGTCAAAATTTACTGTTAGGGGCTATGTAGATTTAGATTTTGTGGGTGATCTAGATAAGAGAAAATCCACTACCGGCTATGTGTTTGCACGTGCAGGAGCTGTAAATTGGGTTTTGAAACTGCAAACTGTCTTGGCATTATCTACAATAAATGCAAAATACATGACAGCTACACAAGCTTGTAAGGAAGCAATCTAAAATCAAACGTTATTGGAGAGGTCGGACATAGATAGAGCTGCAAGTTTGGACCGGGCCAACATACTAGCCCGAGGCCCGTCATTGTGGGCCCGCCCGCTTAAGGGTACGGGCCGAACTGGGATGAGGTTTCAGACTCGAAACCTTATTCGGGTCAGGCCGGGCGGAACATCCCTTTTTAAAATTTTCTTTTAAATAAATATCTTATAAAGTTCTGGGCTAGCCATACCCATCCCTAGGCCGGTCGAGCTTTAGAGCCAGGTTGGGCGGACCCTCCCCCAACCCCCGGTGAAAATAATGGGAAGTGCTGACCAAGCTTGAAATTCCCATTCGGGCCGCAGGGCCAGGGTTAGGCGGCCCGAACTTTCACCTCTTGGCACAAATAAGTGAAGATTCTCATGTTGTGTGATAGTTATAGTGCCTTGCACATAGTAAGGAATCTAGCCTTTCATTCTAGGACGAAGCATATGGCAGTTCGATTTCATTTTGTTTGAGAAGTTGTGGAAGATGGAAGTGTGGATATGCAGAAAATTCATGCCAAAGACAACCTAGCATATGCTTTGACCAAGGCTATTAATGCTGACAAGTTTGAATGGAGTAGATCCTCTTACAACCTAGAAGAAGCGTAAGCACCGCGGTAATGGAAAGGCAGAAAGGATTTTCTGGAGACATGATTAGTCCTCATTCATGTCTCTAAGTGGGAGATATGTTGGAAGTTGTTAGAGATAGCTAAAAATTGTCATCATTAAAGGATGGTTCATTGAACTTGGAGATTTATTGAACATGATGATTCATTAAACTTGATAATTAAATGAATATGGTGATTCAATATATGTGGGTGTTCAATGAATGTGATGGTTCATAGAACCTTGAAGCCTCTCCATTGGCCATAAATGGGCCTCCCCTCCATCATTCCCATAATCCCATATTAAAAAGATAAAGTCTAGAGAGGTATTTTCTCCTATTTTAACAGAGGGAGGTTTTCTGTAGTTCTTTTCTTGTATTTAGAGAGTTGTAAGCCCCTTTCTTTTTTTAAGAGAATCCCCATATTTTTTTTAATAGTGAAATTCTTCTATAATTGCCCGTGGTTTTTTCTCTGATCTATTTTGGGGTTTTCTGCTTAAAATTTCCATGTCTAATTTATTTTTATGCTTCATCATTTCTAGTATTTTTTTGCGCTCCTTGTTCTAAGAGATGTCAAATACTAGAAAACTTAAATGGAGGATTAAAGTGTCACAATTCATCTCTTTCAGAAGCTTACATGACATTAATCATTTTTTGCAATAGAATTGGGGGGAAAGAAAAATGGCTGTTCATGAATGCCTAGTATTGAACTGACATCATTGAGTGAAAATATTGCAGCCGACTAGAATTTATCTTGTGTTGCATCCTATGGTTAGAAATGTACAAATTAAAGCTCTTTTTTGGGTGTCATTTTGGGTATTTCTCTTTTCTATTGCTGAGGACAAGAGTTCATTTAAAAGCAAAAATAAAAATAAATAAAAATAAAAATAGAAGAGGTTCTTCTAATAGCCCCATCTATTTATTTGAATGTGCACTTTGATTGTAAAGGTTGCTATTCATTACTACGGGAGATTGGCAGCAAAACAGGGATGGCGTTTTGACTCAACGTATGATCACAAAGATGGAAATGGTGAACCAGTGCCCTTTGTATTCGTCCTCGGCTCTGGGAAAGTGAGTTCTCGAGTCATTTTCTCATGGTATTCAATCACTAATGTACACTGTTTCCTGTAAAACTCGCTATTTATGTTTTCAACCAACAAGTGAACATAAACCAAAGTTTGAATGTGGATTTTGAACTCTGTTACCTGTAGTCCAAGCAAAGTGGTTGTCTTTAGACAGTTAACAATATGAGATTAGCATGAAATTTGAAGAGGGGACCATAAGATTGCGATGTTTTTATGGTTGTTTAGACTATCCGAGAATTTGATCCGCATTTTGCCTTGAGATTTGAGCAGTCATTTTCTGCCTTTTCTGGATTGTCGAAGCAGATTGGTAATCTCCATAATAACATAAAAGAAACAATTTGCAGGTTATTTCAGGGATTGAAGCTGCTGTGAGGTCAATGAAAGTAGGTGGTATTCGTAGGGTCATCATTCCACCATCTCAAGGCTATCAGAACACCTCACAAGAACCTCTACCACCTAATGTATTTACTCTATATCCTTTTCTTCTTTCTATGAACTATCCACATCCATATTTGGCTAGATTTTTCTTTGCATATACATTGCGCGAACGAAAATAGAAACCGAAAAATTCATTTGGGAATTGCGATAGTTGGTTCTTCAACTAGATGTTGCAGGTCACCTCCTCTAGCCAGCAATTGCTTGCTATCTATCCCTCCCCTTGTGTGGATAACAGGCAAGCTAAGTTTCAACTGCAGGGCCTAGAATTCTGCCCCTTTTATTCACACGAAGTTCTGTGTTTTGAGTCGTCATCTCCTAAAACGGTCACCCCGCTGCCATCCCCGCTTCCGCTACTATGTTAAAGAAAGCTTTGACATTGCCGGTTAATAACTTGTTGTGCAACTTTTTGCTGCTTGTTTGTTATCCTTTCATGATAATCTTGGCATACAAAGAAATGTACAAAGTAGGAAGATGCAGATCAATGAAGACAACAAGTACAAATTGTGGACCGAGTAAGGATTGCGATAGAAAGGATTTTGATTTTTTTTTTTTCTAGATGAAAAAAAACGGCTAGTTCATTTAATGGGGAGTACTGGTATATATACTATCTATATAAATCGAGTGCAATGTGTTCATACACTGATCAACTCGTGTGCCCTATTGTTTGGCAGTAGTTAGACTTTAGATTGATTCATTTATTCCTAATTTTCTTACGTTATTACTTAACATTGCTCGAATTTTTTCCCAGTTTTTTGACAGGCAGAGATTGTTCACGACCATTTTTAATCCCACTCGCCTCGCCAACGGAGAGGGCTCTACTCTTGGGACTCTCTTATTTGATATTGAGCTTGTTAACGTAAGACATCCTTGAGGATTTTGTGTTCCAAGCACCACTTGTTTCGGATGTAAATGTGTGAGATACAACCAGTGTCATCTCGGGGGAAAATATTACTTTCAACTGTAAAATAGAGATTGTTCATAGAATGTACAGATAATGAGATACAATGAAGTGATATGGGGATAACGTCAGTGACATGCATAATTGTAGTTAAATCCATTTTCTCTCCTCTTCTTTTTTCTTTCTTTTTGTTTTTTCTTTTTTATTGGGGTCAGTTTTTGTTAATTCTTTTCTCTTTGTGACTGAATAGAGCTGTTTGCTTTCTTTCATGTAATGAAACAAGAAAAAGGGAAGAATTTATTATATTTCCTTGTACTTTGTATTTTGTTTTTTTCTAGAGGAAATCACTCGGAATGTTATTTCTTCTTTTCTTTGTTTTCTCTCTAATCGTGTTCTAATTTGTGGTCAAGATTGCAGTGACAAAGTTGGCAGTCTTTTGACATGAAATGTTTGTTTTAGTAATAAATTAAACCAGATTTGAAAGCCCAGTTTGAGCTGAACTAACCAGAGTTTTCTGAGACAGTTGTGCTGTTTCGTTAAGCAAATTTTTGTAACAATATTTTTTTGTTGATCGAAATTACCACGACTCCATACATTTTAAGACAAATAGAACTAAACATTTGAGAAACTATAGGCACTAAGCTCAATTAAAAAAAAAAAAAAAAAAAAACCATAGTCATTTACAATTTCATTTGTGCTTTAGGGCTTAAAAAAATGTAATTTTGACAAATACCCTTTGAAAGTGCTTGGGTCAGAATTTTTACTCTTTATTCTTAATTCATAACATTTTTAATTAAATAATTACACTAACAAATGGGTATTTATCAAGAATAAAGGATAAAAGTCAAGACTCGTACACTCTTGAGGATAAATTCTCCATTTCTTTTTGTAAAAAAGAAAAATAGCAATGAGATGTGCCAGCTTGATCTACCTTAACAAGAATGCACTATCCCAATACCAATTAGTTGGAATAATGTGAAAATGGAGGACCGACTATATCTGTTGTAACATGTTGTTAATCAAAATTATAAAATAATTGTCAAATGGTATGGAGGCATGAAAAGGCTACAAACAATTACCCTTCATATTAATGGCATGATTAAATGATAAACAATATTCTATGAAAACTCCCAGCTTTTCTCATTTGAAATGGAAAAAAAAAAAAAAAAAAAAAAACAGCTAACATTATAATATTATATATTCCCATAATCAGTGTCCTCTTAGGATCATTAACAAATCATATTAAAAAGTACCTTCTCTTCGACACATTTAAAAGCGCCATTAGAGATGCATATTTTCAGGGTCAATGGTGTGGCTTTTTAGTCAAATATGGTGAGCACCAAGCAAGGTAGAAGGGTCTTGAAGGTGCATCATGTTCATGCCAAGATACCTAATTACGAAAAGTTGACCATAAATTATTACTTTTGCCAATGTGCAAGCAACGTTTCAATAAATTGAATTCTAAACTTTTCAATAAACTTTAGGCTCAATTCCACCATCATTTCACTTCACACCATTATGTACACGTTTGTGGTCATGGTGTGAACTCGCTTAACGCTATCGAAAAGACCAAAATCTCGTCACCATCCCTAAAACAAGAACCAAGTATTCTACATCCAAATGAAGGGGGCGAGATAGGAAATTCATAACCCCATTTTTTTTTTTTTTCTATACCTTACTTTTCTTGTAGAATGAAAAGTCAAAATCTTGCTCCCAATTGCACGTGATTGGCAATAAACGCGCCACATGTAAGAAACATAACTCTAAGAATTCATTTTAGTCTCATTTGCACAACCCCAAAACTTCTCCAATATTCTACCTCATACGACAACGCCCCTATTCAATACACAAATGACCATAATGAAAACAGCAAAAACAGCCGATCGCCGAGGCTTTATTCTCTCTTCAATCTTCTTCATCTGCTGCCTCTGCGCCTTGGCTTCGATCAACGAGGTCCGGTTCGACGCCCTCTTGAGACTCGGCAACTGCGCCGCCGCGGCCATCAAAAACGACATCAAGTCTTCATCATTCAACACAAACGACACCACTTCTTCCCTCACTCCCCAAAATTCTTCCTCCTCCGAAGACGACATCAGAATACTCATAGGCATCCTGACCCTCCCCGACCAGTACCAGAAGCGACACTTCCTCCGCCTAATCTACGGCACGCAGAATCCCACCGGCGCGAAAATCGACGTCAAGTTCGTCTTCTGCAACCTGACAAAGGAAGACCAAAAAGTCCTCGTCGCGTTGGAGATCATGCGGTACGACGACATCATAATCCTGAACTGCAAAGAGAACATGAACAAGGGCAAAACCTATACTTACTTCTCAAGCCTACCGGAATTGCTAAACGACACAAACGCTCCAAGCCCGCCATACCACTACGTCATGAAAGCCGACGACGACACATATTTTAGACTGGAAAGCCTTGTCCAGTCACTAAAACCATTGCCTAGAGAAGACTTGTATTACGGGTACGTGATTCCTTGCCCTAGCATGGACCCTTTCGTGCGTTACATGTCCGGGATGGGCTATTTGGTGTCGTGGGATTTGGTCGAATGGATTCGGGATTCGGAGATTCCGAGGAACAAAATGGAAGGTCCTGAGGACAAGGTTTTTGGAGAATGGCTTAGAGTAGGGCACAAAGCGAAGAACAGGTTTAATGCAAAGTGGTCAATGTACAACTTTCCTGAGCCAAAAACTGGGTGTACTCATGAGCTTTGGCCAGACACTATTGCGGTTCATTTGTTGAAGAATCAAGAGAAGTGGATTCGGACTTTGAACTATTTTAATCACACCCAGAATCTCAAGCCCTCCAAGTTGTATCATATACCTTAGGTGAGTAATTTTTTCGTTATATATATATATATATATATATATATCAGATCTATTCAGTCTGTGCCAGTTTGATCTAGTGGTCGTTGACTTGACTATAGTTTGGGGCATTTTGTTAATTCATTCTTTTTGGATAAATGTTGAGTTGAAAAAAGTGGGGGGAAATATGTACACACATTAATTGAGTTTGCAAATTATGATTAACCATTTTTCATTGTTTTAATGAAGAGATCTCTGATGGTGTTTATGTAATTGACAAGAGATGTAAAATGTGTGCGTTTTGACATTTACCACCGAGAAAAGGAATTTTTTTTTTTTTACTCCATATATGTGGACTGATGAAACAGAGACAACCTTTAATTTTTCTTTTGTCGTTTTTAGCTTTCAATATTATAGTTTAAGTTCACTAATTATATATCAAGTCGACATAATTGGTGACAAATAAAAAGAATGCTATTCTTCTGAAAAACCTGTAACTACATCAAAATTAATTACCGTACTACATACTCAATCGAGTCATCGAGGGTGGTAATTAATTGATTTAAAAAGTTACTTGATAATTAGGATATTAAACATTAAAGAAAACAGTAAAAGGGAGAATTTAGAATATAAAAATTTAATGTGATTTGGTAACATGCCTACATCTACAAATCAAGAAAAGAGAGAAGATTCAATATAAATGACGCTATTTATGGATTATTAGTGGTGGTGATATAACGGTGAAAGATGATCTATTAAGGATCTCTCACCTAACACCAAGATGATCTATCAAAATTGAGGACTCGTTCTTTTAGAGTTTAACTTGAGTATAATTCTTGAGTTGAATTTGAGTTATAACTTGAGTTGAACTTATAACTTGAGTTTGTGTTTGGTTGTGTACATTTGAGTTATGGTTTGAGATAAAAATCTTTTTGAGTTTGTGTTTGAGTGAGTCAAAACTTGAATTTGTATTTAGATAGTATTTTAATAAAACCTCAATGTTGATGAAAAATTTTAATAGGGTATATGGGTCGGGTTTTATTCGTCTTTTCGTTGTCAACACATAGAAAAAAAATCATCTCAATCAGAATTAAAACGAAAAAGTTATAGCATTTTTAAGAATAGAAAAAATATTGTTCATTAATTTGAGTTCGAGTTTCTGAACTCGAGTTGAATGAGAAACTTGAACTCGAGTTTTAGTCCTAAACTCGAGTTTAAACTCAAGTTTAAACTTAAAAGAACATGAACTCGAATAAAGTTGTAACTCGAGTTATTTTTTTTTTAGTTTTTCACTCAAAAGAACAAGCCATGAGTGATTCAAGAAGTTCTGAAAAAAGATAACAAAAACTTCTACAAATTTGCGTGTCACGGAGAAGACCAGATTATGAAGTTTTGAAGGTTAAAATTTCAAAGGAAATTAGCCCTAGTAGGAGAATATAAGGACTGTTTTCTTCTGGCTCGACTATTTTCTTTTTTGCAGAGTACTTTTTTCCACGGTTTAGGCCCATCAATGATGAGGAAATTTTGTAATTCAAATATCTTCTTCGTCCCTCCAAAATTGATTACTATCACAATAGAATTTTACTATGAGCATGTTCCAATAGATCTTCCTTTTTATCGTCAAACAAATCCTCTTTCCCTTTAAGTACTTTAAGCAGCGCAAGACCAAAATCATTCTTCCCATTTATTTGTTTCAATTTCAAATTTTATCATCATTGTAAAAGGCCCAACACACCATTAAACAAAGTCTCTCCCCTTTAGTACTTTAAGCAGCCCTTGTTGAAATGATATGGCTCGCATATTCTTGCATATCAATGACTAAAATCATTCTTTCCATTGATTTTTTCAAGAGAAAATTACTGAATTTATCATTAAGTGTAAGAGTGTGAATTTTTATCCCATATTTTTAATTGATACTCTTTTTAGCTTATATAGTTATTTAACTAAAAAAGACGACGGACCACATGTATGACTTTTGGACTGAGGGAGTCAATGATTCCAAAGAGGAGAAGTTTGTCTCGCCTCAACCAGAGAGTGTATTCTGGGTTTGAGAGGTTCTTGCCATCATCCACAATATTTAGGGATGGACAAGGCTTTGCTCCATCAATATAGCCAAGCAAAAGAAGTGCATCAAAATGAGTTTTTCACGCAAAATAATTGAAAGGGGGTTAGTTTAGTTAGGATCTGATTGGCTACGTTTGCTGAAATATGATTGCTTGGGTTTTATAGTTGTGTTGGTAATATTTTGATTAAGGGCTAACCTAGTTGTGCTTTCATCAGCCATGATGATGAAGGGTGTAAGAAAAAGAAGAAGAAAAAAACAAGAAGAGAAAAGAAGTTGGCCAAGAATCAATGACTCGTGTGAGCTACAAAAGCTCTGATACAATATCAAGTCAGAGTGTTTGAATTGTGAAAAAAGTAGTATTGTATTTTTATAAATTCAAGCTTTATACAAAGAAACAAAAGCTATACAGAGCAGCAATGGCTAATGTCTAAGATCATGGATGATGTCTTTAACAAATCTTCGAACACAATATCTAGTAATAATATTATGTTTTAGAACAAGAATTAAGTCTGTAAATTTTTTAGAAATTATAAAATGACAGAGGTTTCATTGCTTGAATGAACATAACCATTTCAATTGTTACAATTATTCACATAAATGTATCTTTTCAATGTAAAAGTATCTCTTCATGTATTAATGCAACTATTACAACAAACATAATTGTTGCTAATAGGTATTCAGATATGTATGAAAACATATCACAAATTATTACAATGATTTGGTATAATTCAAATCACAAATCACACACGCATAGTTTTTCTGCAATGGGCGATGCAAAGGATGAAGTATCCGTTGCAGCGCACAACACTAAGCAAACTGCACCTGAGATGGTGCAGTTTGGGGGCTGCAACGGACAAAACTTCCGCTGTAGCCCATGAGCATCCACTGCAGCAAATCGTCCACTGCAGCCTGCAGGGCATACCAAATGCACTTGAAATTGTGCAATTTGTGGGCTGCAGCGCTTCCTAAATTGTGTGACCTTTAATTCTCTATCATTTGAGTTGGATATATTACCATCTCTCCAGCATAAAGTACTATTGAAATTAAACATTGGAATTTGATTGGTCGTGATTTAGTGATTCTCTCCTATTAGAAGGCCTAGTCCTTTTTTTGTGTGATTAGGATAGGAATAACTGACACCCAAAATTAAAGTATAACTTCAAACTCCAAAAATGTGAAATGCATAGTAGTTTTCTTTTTCAATCCGTAGATAAGAAATGATGATTTTCACTCAGTACAAATTGGATGCGACCATGTTGCTAGCTAGTATTTTTTTTTTTTTAAGGATTCAATTAATAAGCAAAAAAAAAGGTTATCAAAGAAAGGTACCCAACAAACAGCTTAATCCAAATCAAAGTCAGAAAATAAACCAATCAAAGGGAGTGCAAACAACGTTCCCTAACAAGCAAACATGAGTAGCAAACAAAAAAACAAAAAACAAAAAACAAAAAAAAAATGAAGAAGAAAAGAGGCAAAAGGGCCATTCTATCCGTACAACTTGTGAGGGAGAGAACATTGTTGGTCCTTCTTACCCAATTAAAAGAGAGATTAAAGTCTTGAGTTACGAGATTCACTCAATTTTTGACGAACTCTACTTGTGATTCGAAACTCAATCTAGATGGATTGTTTAGTTGGAAAATTCGTACCCCGATTCGAATAATGATTCATGGTTCACTACAGTATTTTCTCTCATAAAAAATACACGTAAATAAAAAA